TAGGATAAGACTACAGGTAGAGGACTACAACATCAGGACAAAATTAAAGGTAGAGAACTACAGCATCAGGACAAGATTAAAGGTAGAGGACTTGAAAAAGAGGACAAGATTAAAGGTAGTGCATTAAAATTTACAATTTAATTTTTTCATTTCAGGAAAGTCAGATTTCGGAAACAGGTCAAGCATCTTTATTGATAACTGAAATGGTCTGATCAAGGATGAATTTTCACAATTATAAGAGAGTTAAATGATTCCATATTGTAAATTGGACATGTTACTCTTTAAAGAGCAGGTCACTCTACAGGCAGAAGCCAAAAGGAGTTACGCGTATGATGCCGCGTTGAAGACAAAGGATGAGCCTGTTCTAGCCGCTGCGCTTGGCACCTTAGTCTGTCCTATCCGTGGTGCTAGGCCCCTTAGCCTGTCCTATCCGTGGTGCTAGGCCCCCTAGCCTGTCCTATCCGTGGTGCTAGGCCCCCTAGCCTGTCCTAGCCACAGTGCTCAGTCCAGAAAGTGTGCTACCTGACCTAACCCTATAATATATATACTAATCCCTCACTTTCTTGTAATTCAACGCGGCAAGCGTGCATAATTCCTTTTTCATTTTCAATTTTTTAGTATTCTTGGTTAAAACCATTGCTGTTTGAGAATTCTAAATATTGCTTTTGTAATTGTCTTCCTAGAATGACAAGCTGCTCAGTTTGCCCTATTATGTTTGCCATAAATACGTTCGCCATGATTACACTTGTCATAATAAAACTTGACATAAATACTATTCTATAAATTACACTTGCCGTAAATATTTTTGCATTAATTTTCTATTCTTTACAATGTAAAAATTTAACTTAACTTTTAGATCAATCTTTTTTACACGGAAAACATAGGGAAACGTATTTATGGTAGATGAAACTGAGCCAATGACAATGTACAAATTCATAAAATATTCGATCAAAACCAATTAATACCGAAGGTTACTTAGACTATTTCGAAGAAAATTCGATTTTTTTGCGAATAAAAAAATGAGACAAGCTTACAGTAATTTACACTTTAGTTTAAGATGGGAATTTTGAAAATGTTGTAAATGGTTTAGCATAAAAGATGCTTGGAATTAGGTACAGGCTAGTTGATACAGTACAGTACACAGAACCAGGCCGACAGGCTGGTACAGTACAGTACAGAGAACCAGACCGGCAAGCTGGTGCAGTACAGTACAGAGAACCAGGCCGGCAAGCTGGTGCAGTGCAGTACACAGAACCAGGCCGGCAAGCTGGTGCAGTACAGTACACAGAACCTGGAGACCAGGGACCAAATTTAATTATTAGCAAAAAGTACCGTGATCAGCTTTAATAATTTTTTTCAAGCTTTTTTAAATTACAAGTTTACAAGTAAACAAAGAGAGAGTTAATTGGCAGCTTCACTTTGTTTCTATGTCTATGGGTTTCCTTGCTCTTCTAAACCTTAGTAGCTAATTCAAAATTGAAATCAAAAGACTTAAGTTGAACAATTTCTAAAGAAGTTAACCGGCGCTCAACAGAAGTTGTTCAACTTTTCTACATAGTTAAACTACTACTCCCTTTTCATTAAAGTTGGTCCCAGGATACGCTAGGACTTTACAACCTAGACGAAAACAATGAAGAAGAATATAATCTGTATGTACAGGTACACTTTTACTTTAATATAATCTGTATGTACAGGTACACTTTTACTTTAATATAATCTGTATGTACAGGTACACTTTTACTTTAATATAATCT